ACATCTTCAGAAACATGGCTCTCTTTGACTTTGGCTCACTCGATAATGAAACCTCAATGTGAACTTTCCATCCAGAGTCTAATGGCGAGATCAGAAATCTACAAGTGAGAAGGTGAAGATGGCGGAGCTCTCACTGCCTTTGCTCAAATTTCGTCTCTCCTTAAATTATATGATTTGCACATTTTGCACAGTGGAACTCTGAGTCCCTGCATGCAGTGCGGCATTAATAAATCATGTGAATTACTGGGTTATTTGCAGTGGTGTTGTGCTTGTTGCCTCTTTGAGTTATGTGGTGTTGACTTAGGTCTGTTTCACACATACTGCATCTGCGACACGAATCTGCAGACCATATTAACAGGTTACAGCGTTCACACGGCCGGCGTAAGCAGCTAGAAGTGGAACTGACAATAGAGTTTTGGCGCCGAGTTCACGTGTCATGCTCAGTTTGGGGACTTTTAGAAAACACACTCTCTTAAAACAAACATTTCACATGCTGTCTAGTTCAATTTGTGCACTAACAGCTTCCAACAGTTGAGGTCATGGGTTTACATAAACTACACCATGCAAAATCTGCTATAAGTTAATAATTTCAACAATTTTTAAAGGGGTTAAAAAATTTCACTTATTTATTTAGTACTGCTCTAAATTTCACACAAGAGATGTTTACATAGTACAAAATAATAATAATAAACCAAAATAATAGCTGAATTTACCAAAAATAATAGCTGACTTTTATGAAAAATATATGGACTGTATATATGAACTATGTGTTCAAGTGAGCCAACAAAGGTGATTTTATTTATTTATTTATTTATCTTTCTTTTATCTTATCTAATTACAAAAAATGTTAAAGCAACATTAATTATATGGCCACCATGTTGTGCATCCTAAATAAATAAAATTATTATTATTATTATTAAATTTCCTTTGTTTTTATATTCACATCATAGCTCATATTTATAGTTTTTCTTCTAGCTATTCACTGACACTTTTTGTCCTTGGTAAACAAATCCGCTAATTAAACTAATTTATTATGGACAAAAAAATGTTTGATATGGTAGAAATGGCGCCACAACTGTGGGAGTCATAATAATTTTATGAATGTTACAAAAATTGTCACTCTTTGTTTTGATCATAGTTTAAAAAACTGAATAATTCATATTTTTAAAATGAACTCATATTTTAAAGCTGAAACAATAAATCTAAAAGGCATTTAAAAAGAAGTAAAAAATAATGAGGGCACGATAAAAAGTTTTAATGTGACCTTATAACAAAAAGAAAACACTGAAATGTTAGTTTTACTAAAATAAATCAACCCCTAGGACATAAAAGTCCCCAAAGAAACACCCATCTCTGGGATGCACCATAAACACTATCAGTGTGAAAGCTCACGCCGCACAGTATGTGCGAAACTGGCCTTGAAGTGCGTCTCGGTCTGTGATACTATCATTGTGGTTTGTGTTTTGGATGGTAAGGACCCTGCATACCAGATCCAATATTGTGCAATGTATGATTTATATTGCTTTCTCAGCTAGTTAAATTACTGAGCTAGGCAAATGTTTTAAGAAACAGAATATGCCACTACAGATCCAGCTCATGGCTAATCTGTTATTGTTCACCATACAAATGAGAGTTAATTTGACATAAAATGGTTATATCCATATGTTTTTGTACTTTTAGTTTTCACATTTACATAGTGCATAGACTGTTAACATTTAATGCTCTTGTTTTTATTTGCAATATTTGCATATTTAACCATTCAAAACAGCACTCTGGGTTCTGCTTCTGCCACGGTGTGATTCTACTTGTGAAAACCGTGAGCCACAATATATTTTTGTCTTCTTTTATTGCAACATTCAGAATGGAAATACAACTGCACCTATGTAATTACATGGTAATAACACGGTAATAACTGTGTAACACCTTCAGGGACAACTAAAACAAAGTTGGATATAATACTGATGTCTTTTTACAATGAAGTTCTTCATATAAACTCGCAAACATAGTTCCAGCCTGCTTTTTGACAGGCTGTTCATAAAAAAAAAAGAAATTGAGAGACCCATGGTATGCATGTGTTTTAGTACAAAATAAAATCAAAAATCTGTTAAATTGCTCTGAGCAAATATTTTAAGAAGCAAAAAACACCATTAATGATCCAACTCATGGCTCACCTGTTATTGTTCTCCATAAAAGTGTGACAAAACCATGCATTACAGAACAGTTAGCTGCACCACACATTACTACCATAGAATTAACATTGATAGCACAGGCCTGTTTAACGGCACAGACAACAAAACCATGACTCGCAAGCGTAGCACAATCCATTTCAATTCATGATAACAATATAACCAGTTGTATATAACCATAACCATAGTTGTCCAAAGTTTTAAAATAAAATTACACATCTTATACTGTACATTTTATAAGACAGAATATGATGCAGTGTCTATGTGGGTGGGCCGGACTAGGAGCAGTAACTTTCTATCAGACTCTGTAATCATCTCTGGGCACAGAAGCATTGTGTGTGTGTGTGTGTGTGTGTGTGTGTGTGTGTGTGTGTGTGTGTGTGTGTGTGTGTGTGTGTGTTTTCTGTGACTCTAAGCTCCTGCTTAATTCAATTGAGGGCCAATTATTGACTGCCTCTCTGAAATCCTCTCAATTCATTTGAAGTATAAGAGTCTGCTAGTCAAGACCTTCTAACCTTCTTTTCTTCAGTCTGATGAAGTTTTTAATACACTACATTATATATTAATGCAGTACTCTTTAATACACCAAATGGCCAAAAGTATGAGGACACTTGAACGACACCATACTTGCTTTGTTGAGCATTTAATTTCAAAATCAGGGAGTAAAGGCCCGTTCACACCAAGCACGATAACTATAAAGATAACGATAAAGATATAGTTCTAAAAATTGTTCTCAATATTAAAGAATAGCAGAGTCCACACCACAGCTATAACGATAAAGGCACAGAGAAACGATATCGTTGGAATCATTTTCAGAACAATTTTTTCCAGCTGATGAACGATACAAACATTGACAGCCAATCAGAATCCATCCTGCTATAACGAGCTCGAGAATTTAAAGCGGCAGACACGTGTGCGCTTAGAATAAACAGACGATATCGTTCGCTGGTATGGACGCTAATATCGTTATCTTTATAGTTATTGTTCTTGGTGTACACGGGGCTTAAATCTGAACTGTTGCAATCCTTAAATATGCTTTGATTTCATCTGTCCTATGTGGTACTTACTGGTTTAATTATTACTATTGTTCTGAATTATTAATCTAAATCATACAGAAGTAATGAGAAAATGAGGGTTAATTTGATTTCACATTTTATTCCCAAAATGTGTAGACTGTTGTAAAAACGCTCTTTGACACTGGTTTATTTGCACAATTTACAACTTTAACAATTTGAAACAACACTCTGGCTTTTCACTTCTGTCATGTTATGATTCTCCTTGTGGCAACCAATATAAAAATGGTTACTTCCATTTGCTTTTGTACTTTAATTCTCAAATTTGTATAGTGTATAGACTGTTGTTAAAATGTAATGCTCTTAGACACTGTTTTTATTTGCATCATTTGCAACTTTAGCAATTTGAAGCGACACTCCGGCTTTTTGCTTCTGCCACAGTCTGATTCTCCTTGTGACACCATGATCCCTAGCACACACAGTAAATCTCTGTAAGTCTGCTTTTCTTGTAACATTCCGAATCTGGAAACAGAACTGCACCTATGTAATTACATGATAATTACATAGTAATATCTGTGTAATACCACCACTACAAAAGTGCAATAGAATCAGGCACAACTAAGTGAAGACTCCAAAAATAATTTACATTAACTTGAATGGAATTAATATAAACTCCCAAGCTATTTGACAAGCTTTTCATAAACATCGGCGAAAGACCCAGAGTATGTATGTGTCTTAAAAAAAAAAATCTGTTAATCTGTTCAAAGAACACAATATATCTTGATTCATAGAAGATGCTTTATATTGTTGCTACTAGTTACACATGCAGTCAGTGCATAAAGCTCACATCTTAGCAAAGGAAATAAACTGTTTGCATTGCACACAATACAAGGCAATCACTTTCTTATCATTGTACCTAAGAGAATTAAACTCTATACCATAAATCTCGCCAAAACGGTGCATTTACACAAACGGTTTGCATTAATGTCACAAACAGATGAAGATTGGCTTTGTTTTGGGCTAAGAGACCTCTAGAGTCCTTTTCCACAGCACTTTTTTCCTGAGCTAGACAAATGCAACAGAACTTTCATTTATAGCAGTATTCCCATGATAACCACATGAACACTACAGTCTAGAGTACAAAACAAGCAACAGTCTAAATCACTCTGACATTAAATACTGCCATTGTGTTTTCGATCCTCTATGGCGTTTAAAAGCCACAACCAAAGATTCATATGAATCGTGCAAAAACAATCTGAACCTCAGTAGCTTCACTGAAGTTTTAAATCCTGTACATACAAATAAAAGGGGTGGTTCACTCAAAAATGAACATTCGGTTACACTTTATTTTAAGGTGTCCTTGTTACAGTGTAATTATTCTGAGTAATTATAAGTACTGAGTAATATTAATTAACTACATACTATATGGTTAGGGTTAGGATTAGAATTTGGCATGGATTACTTGCATGTAATTATGCATAAGTAATTGTTATTATAATAGTAAGTATATGTAACGTGTAACAAGGACACCTTAAAATAAAGTGTTACCGAAAATTCTGTCATCATTTATTCATCATCATGTCATCCCAAACCTATATGACTTTCTTTCTTCTGTGGACCAAAATAGATGATATTTTGTGGACTCTTTTGTCCAGTCCCTCATTGTAAGGACAAAAAAAGAGGAAGAAATAAGATCATAAGGTTTGGAACAACATGAAGATATAATTTCCATGTTTGGGTGAACTTTTCCTTTTAGATGAGCTACACAAGCATGATAAAGAAAGGAAACCGTAGGACTTACTTTGTGTATTCTTCATTGTCTCTGTCGCACCTTGCATCCTTATGTTTCTCCCAGTCTTTCCCGTGTTTGCAGGTAGTCAATAAAATTATATCATCCCCATTATGTATATGATATAAAGCATTTCTGGTTTCAGAACCGATGCCAGTTAGATACCTCTTCCCTTTGAAGACCAGCAAGTATTTCCGTAAGGGAGGGACATTGTTAAGATTCAGATAACCTTTGCTCCCTCCTTTCTGAGGATGGTCTTTTGAAAACAAAGGGATGGACACATCAAAGCGCGGTCTAAAGTTGTCCATGTCGGTGCTGGCCTTGGCCAGCATGGCTTGGCCGATATCGAAGCCTAGTTCCTCCGTATAATCAGGCCACGTTCCAGAGTACAAGTTAAAAATCAGATGGTTCCTCCCTTCGTACCACAGAGGGAGGCTTTGAATTCGGGCTCGGACGTTATGTACATACTGAGAGGACAGCTGGTCCCTGTCTAGGGTGTCTATACTCAATACAAACAGACAGGCCTCATTAGGGTCCGTTGTGTAGAACCGCGATTCCTCGATGGCTGCCAGAATCTTCTGGTAGCTTTCCGAGGGCGCTTCACCTTTCTGAGGCGGATACACGTAGATTTTAAACCCCCGTTCGCAGCGCTGGAAATCGAAGCAGGTCTCCATGCGACATCGCCGGCTCTTGTAGATGTTCTTCTGTATTTCTCGTCTCTCGCGAGGAGACGTGTGTTGATGAAGAAGCAGGGGTCCGTCCTCTTCCTGCTCGGCCTCACCAAGGTATGTCTGCAGGGGAGGATCCACCCATTCCGGCCAGCGGGGCGGCCGAGGTGGGACACCGGCGATCTGTGAGACTCCGTAAAGCTCGGCATGGTTCTGGTTGTGGAACTCACCGATTTGTAGGCCACACAGGTAGGCTAGTAGCAGGCTACAGGCCCCCACAGATACCAGCAGGTATCGCTTCTTCGCCTGCATGTGGACAGTGAGAAGCAGGGCAGGAAAAGAAGGAAGCACGGAGGGTCGACTGTAAACCCAGGGGACCAGCTCTCATACCACTAGGAGCATTCTGATATTGCACGGACAACTGTAAGCGCAGAGATACAGAGAGGGTCATGTTAGCTTTACACACCAGAATGAAAATGACAGAATCTAGTATTGTAACTCCATCTGAATACAGTCTTTATTACTAATAATTTACAATAAGACCACATTGAAAATCTGGGATTCAACATCTAATTTGAACCTAGAAAAAATGTAAAACATACAAACATATAAAGTAAAATGATTATGATCCACTTTGTGTGGAGAAAAACAAAAAATCAGTGCGACTTCCAGGGAGGTCTACTTTTTCTAAGTAAATCTTGTGGCGCCATCAGCGATTCGTCTCACGCCATGTATTTGTGTTGTGTGTAAATCTATAATAAAGTGATAAGTAATGACAGTAGGCTACTTATATTTTGTCAACATTACCGCATGATACCGATCCTTAAAGAAAGTGCTCTGTTGTCTATAGTAACCACCTCAGGTGAAAGTCTTAGCAACTTTGTCCATTTAACTCATTTCACTTTTGTCATTACTAAAACTTTTGAAAACGCAAATAAAATGTATATACACTTATACTGTATATACTTTCAATTATACAGATATACTTCTGTATATGTGTTACTGTTACTACTATGGGCTATGGCTTAAAAAACTTAAGACAGTTTTAACCTCAGCTAAAACGTGGTAAAAACTGACTACATACAAAAATTACATACATTCTAAAAAATTATATTAAAAAAGAGAAACTTCTGTTTATGTAGTGAGGCTGTTTCAGTACCAAATGTTCGATTTTTACTCTCTTCACCTCACTTGAAAACTAGACAATCTAAGGCGTTATTTAAACATAAAACTACAGAAAATAAAATTAGCTTAATAAATAGATTTACATATAACATTGTGATTGCAACTTGTATAATATATGCTAAACAAACTGAAAGAGATAGAGATGCTTTACCTCAGTCACCTGTTGAAGCGTCAATCATCTACTGATGAGTAAAGACCTTCAATTATTCTCAACGTTATATTAGAAATCAAAGCACTATCAAGTCAGCGCATTATTAGGAGTTGTGTAGAAGTATTTGCCAGCCATTTCTGTATTCATAAAGCAAATGTTTTGGTACTGTACGTCAGTATAATAATGTGATTACAAGGGGAACTGACAGAAAAACACACGCTGTCCGAATCCATTACCCTGATAAAGCAACGTGATGTTCGTTATCTGTTTCTATCTTTACATGCTTGATCTAAATATCTTCATATTCCCATATGTCTTGGTGACTAATGCGCAACTTCAGAAAATCCACTGAGTCTTCTTCAAATTGCATTCCGTCCACAAGTCTTGATACATCACAACCTCAGCCTATAATATGCACCAAGTATCTCCAGAGTCAAGAAAGAGATCCTTCTATAAACGTGAGGATTGTCAGCCCCTATCTCTCTGGATAAATGTGCAGGTTTTAGAGCAAAATCCATCGCAGAGTTCCTGAGACATCCTGAGTGCTCGAGTTGCGTTTACAACTCTCCAAAACCAACACGAAACTTCTCATCACGCCACTCGTGGTCTCACAGCATCCTGGAGACTCTGCTAGCATCTCATAATCCACATGGACCACAGCTTTCAATCGCAGTAAAGTCCTTCCAGAGGTTTGGTTTGGTTTGGTTTGGTTTGGTTTAATTTGAAGTTAGCTGTCAGTCACCGCTTGATCCGGAGTCAATCCGGTGGGACCACGTGCATAGACTCCAAAACAAACCCCAATTTCGCTCGCATGACATTCCAGTGTTAATTCATACTCCTTCAAATTCACAATGCGCTGTGAACGATCAGATATCGCGTTTTTGCCTCCGGACGGCACTTGGCGTGAAAGTTACCGCTGTTGTCAGCTGAACGTCACTTCACTCCAGCGCATCTTCACCGGGACGAGACCGCGAAAACACGCACGCATTCTGTCGCATGCCTGTCTCTATAAGCAATCCCACCCAGCAAGTCTTCTCCTTCGGAGTCAGCAGGCGTGGAGCATGATGGTGAGCTTCTGAGGAGAGTTGGGGAATCCGCTCAGCATCTCTATGAGCTTGTTATTAGTAGAGGAAGCGCTGAGAGAAAGAACGGTCAGCGGAAAGCGTCGATCATCGCAGAAGAACTGTGTACCGACAGATGCGTATCACACGAGGAAAGCAATAACCGAGCCACAGGCTGCAAACATCTTCACTGAGAAACTATATAATGATGCTCCTCTACTGATGCACACTGCACCGCGGAAATAATTCCACGAAACGGGTGCATATTCTATTATGAAAATGTGATTTTCAGAGTAAATTGTAATACTATCGGATATGTCTAAGTATCAGTAGGTTGTAAGGTAGGCCTATTTAAAAGTGTAACGGGGCTGACGGTTTTGCACTTAAAGTAGCCATTATTAGCCATTCATTACACAAGGTCGACCATTACACAAATTGTTTATTTAAACGTGAAAATAATGCTGACATTAAGTTTTCAACAATTAATTGCTTACTCTACAAAATCATGGAAACAGTTCACCATTTATAAATTCTTCTGCTTAATGTAACACGATAAAATCCTGAAAACAATAAGCTTTTCCTCTACGATTTCACATCCTGAATATATAATGAAATTATTATGAAAGAGCTTTCATTAATGGAATTGTGTATCATTTTAATAAAAGATAGTTAAAGGGTTGATGCATAACTTGGGAACATGACGTCTTTTTTTAATGAAGTATTACATTATATATCCGGTCCATCAATCTCATTCATAACACTATTAGATGATGGGCAGTGCTGGTCGCCATTTAGTCACAATTTAATCAACTCATAGCAGTAATTCTGAGATATTGCTGAGTCAACGAAAACATTATTCCATCTTAATCATAATCAATACTGTTAGTCATAAGAAGTAAAATAAGTATTTTTCAGCAGTTATATTACGTAAGGAACTTACACAAACAATGGGAAGTATGCGTGTGTGTGTGTGTGTGTGTGTGTGTGTGTGTGTGTGTGTGTGTGTGTGTCAGGAGGTATTGAGATCCCTCCACCATAGTCAGAGTTTGCTGCAGAGACAGACAGAAGCTCTGAGCCGAGCAGAGAAGGAGCTTCGCAAACTCTGTGAAGAATATCAGGTCAGGCTTCCCAAAACCCAACTCCACCAGCAGTATCGCTTTCAACTTAACACACACACACACACACACAAAACGCAACTATTTTTGCTTTTACATTTTTTTATTTTAATATGTAAATTGTATTATTATTATTATTATTATTGTTTTTTACTGTGTGCTGTGTGCACATCTAAGGAACAGGCTACAGCCACAAACAGACTTCAGTTACAATTCACATATTAATTATGTGATAAAATAAACAAATAAAATGAGCTAATTAAATAAAGGACAATTAATTCTACACATATTTATACACAAAATAAAATATTTTGCAAAAAAAAAAGCTAAATCTGTCAACTTTTTCCAGATATTTATTGTAATTTAATTTTCTTCAAATTATAAAGTTAGTAAGGTATACATATTCAGGAGTAAACAATGGTCACCTAGTACTCATAAAATTGATTGAATGAACTGAAAATCACTTTTGCACATTTACAACACACGAAGTGCAACTCAATAATAGTAAGTGTGTTTAATGTCCGTTTACAGCCTCCTTCTCTTTTATTCCCCCATTCCTCTATTTAATTCACTTGTTCACACTGATTAAAACCATTATTAACATGACAAAAGTCAAATGATTTGTATTGGCCTCTCCATCTGTTTAGAATCCTCTGTCCAGGTTAAATAAACACATAAAAATGTATTATTGCATTAAAAATTTTCTGGGTAATTAATTTCATTGCAGGTCCTTAAAACAGAACATGAATTGAACCAAGAGAGGACTAAAGAAAAAGACGACAGCTTTGCTCGCTTGAGAGATGAATACCAAAATTCTAAACTTGCTTGGGAAAAAGAGGTGACAATTAGTTCCGGAAAAGCATCACACAAAAACAAAGGATCTAGAACTGAGACTGAACATTTTTTATTAAAATGGTATTTTTATTTTATTTTATTTTTTAAAAGTGAATATTGGTGTTCTCACACAGATTCTGCGATTGCAAATGTCAACGGAGTCCGGTCAAGAAGAGCTGCAAGCGGTAAAAGAGGCATATAATCAACTTCAAGAAGAGCACAAACAGCTGTCTATTTCTGCAGTTCATAAAGCGAAAGAAATTCATAACTCTGAGGTGGGATGATATATTGTATATAGATAGAAAATCAAAACCAATCCCATTTGATACTGATGACTGTGATTTCTCTTATATTTACTGAAGACATCAGCTCTAGAAGGCTAGGTTGTTATATTACAGATGCTTCCTTTTTATTGGCAGATTCTGACAGAAGCAATAGCCTCAAGCAGCACTGCTGTTTGGCATCACCTGCTCTTCAGATTTTTGTTTGAGATGCAAGTTAAAACTTTAAGGTAATTAATTACAAAGATACAATTATAAACCCCTACAAGTTGTTCCAAGCCCACACTGTTCATAACATTTTACAAAATAGTAATGAACTCTTGAACTAGAATTGATCCAGTGTTTCCTTTTAGGGAACAAAATAATTGTGTAAGATACCTGTCCTGAACTCTGAATGTTGAATCTGCTCTTGCTGTTTTGTAGCTTTGTCTTCCCTGGAGATGATCATACGCAAACTAACCGAAAAAAATCACAAAAGCAGTGTTTATGACACAGAAAGGCTTCATATTAATGTTGGGAGTAACTTTAGGACACTGAAACTTGTCGAATTGAAATTACAAATATTTGTTTTTGTGACAGTTTACTGTCACGACTGACCCAATGTGCAAGTTTGCTAATCTAAGACATCTTTCTATCGCCTTTGTCTACCATTTGAAAAACATTTTTCAATTTTAATTTAATTTAAAGGAATATACTTATGTGTGAATTAAATGTAATGTTTTCGAAAAATTATTATTTTTTATTTTAATTTTAATTACTTTTTATTTAATTTTTAAAGGGGTCATATGATGTTGCTAAAAAGAACATTATTTTGTGTCATAAAAACGTACTTATAGTCTGTGAGTCAGAACAGCCCGCATTGTAGTCTACACTACCAGGATCAGAAAACAGTCTTCCATAAAATGCGCTGGACACATCTGAATATTTGGGTTGAACTGTTCTGAAACAGTGTTGTACTTAA